ATTGAAATTCCAAGTGGAAGTGTATGGAAAATGGCCTTGAAGTAGGGTAGAAAACCTTGTCAAAATAGGTCAAAAATTCACTAAGTTAAGAATGGTTTAGTGCCCTTATTCAAAAATTTGTAACTTGGGATACAAGCCTCAAATCAGAAAACTTTGTGTATCAAAGTTGTAGATTATGCAACAAGCTACAACTTTCTTGTTTTGACTTTTGTTTGAATCCAAATGGATCTTGGTGAAAAATTGGGGCAAAGTTGGGAAAAAATTAGGGTTTTTTATAACTTAGAAAAATTCTAAGTTATGAAAAATTCTAATTTCTAACCCTAATTTGCATTTTGTGATTTCTTGATGAACAAGTTTCATGATTTGGCATGTTTTGATGAAAAATGAATCTTGACTCTTGATTTTGACCAAAAAGTCAAAGTTTGACTTTTCAGTATACAGTCAAAATTGATCAATTGACTGGGAAATTCAACTGTCAATCTTGTGTATTTGGGATCTTTTGAACTTGTTGAGCATGTCAAGATAATTCCATAGGGTCCTTGAGTCCATAGGTGAGCTTGGTTTGCCATTGGCTAGGTCAAACAGTCAAAAATTGCCTTCGTGTAGTCAAAACCCTAAAAATGACCATTTTGCCCTTTTGATGATCTGATCAAATTTCTTATGGAATTGTGATCCAAACTTGACCCAATGGTCCATGTGAGTTCATAATGTTGATGTGGGTCAATTTTCATGATATTTGACTGTCAATTGGCCACAGTTGACTTTTTCCCCAATACAGCTGATTTCTAGGTCAACTGTCCAATTGACTGGGCAAAACATGAAATCAAGACTTGAAACTTGATGTGGATAAACTTGGGAGTCCAATATGAAGCATGAAAGTCATCTTAGGCATTTTAGGTCAAAACATCTTGGTGCAAACATAAACCCTAATTTGGGTCAGCAGTGCAAGGAGAAGTCTTTGAGCAGATGAAACCCTAACTGGATCCTGAGCTTCAAAGGTTTTGTGATGAGAAATCATTGAGAAATGGGAGGGCAAATTTTGGGGTACAACACTATCCATGGTTTTCCATGGACTCTTAGGTACTTGCTCATCTTTTTAAAATTTCTTGTGTATGTGTTTTGTTTTGAAAAGTTTGACTTTGTGATAACCCTTGTATCAGTCCTTAAAGGTGTGACGAAGTTGTTTTGGAAATGGTTTTGAAATGTGTAAGTGTGAAAAGTTTTGATTTGAGCAAGCACCTACTAGCATCTACCTACTCGAAAAGATCGTTTCTATTCTTGTTTCCTTTAGACAGCGCTATCCTACTATTGAGAAATAGGTAGCAACGTCGTTGGAGTTGTAAGGGTCAATTTGAAAGGGACGTACGATCACTAAAGCAATATTAAGACACATTAGTAATAACCCTAGAGTCTTAAGATCTTATTTGAGGCAACATTTCCAAGGCAACATTCGAACGGGACATTAGATCTTTTTTAGACAGGAGGGCGACCACTAAGACACCCTATACTTAATGATCGTTTACCGAAGGCAACCGAAGTGAGAGTATACCCTAAGAGTGATATGTGAGAGTGATTGGTTTTCAATTATTTATCTTTGCACATTAGGGTTTTCTAACTGTATTAAATTTGTCATGCATTCTTGTCATACGATCCTATTAGCATACATCTAAACAGTTAAATATTTGCGGGAATTAAAATGTGAGAAAGTAAATCTACGCTATTACAAGGCTTCAGGGAGGGGGATTAATTACATATCCAAAAACCTAGGGGAAAGCGATAAGTAAAAGCCCTAAATTAAACTATTACAAACCATGAACAGTTACAAAACTATTGGCAAAAATAATTAATACGCGCGCGATGAATCAAATACGAGACAACTAGGGTTTTGACCCTTGACTTAAACCTAATTGCGACTGATAAAAAAAATGTTTTTGTCATGTTTTGTTATTTAAGAAAATAAAGAAATCATTAAATTAAAAAGAAAATCCTAATTCTAATTAATTATAAATTAAGAAAAAATAAATTAATTTATTCTAAAAACCCTATTTTTGTATTTTTATTTATTTGAGAAAAAATAAAGGAATTAAATCAGAAATTTACCCTAATCTCTATTTAATTTTATTTATATAAAAAATGTTAAAATTTCCCTAAGTTAAACTAAATTAAATTAACAAAATTAATTTTGACAAAGAAATCTAATTCTAATTTTTGTGAACTCTTGATTTTATAATTTTTTACGAAAAAAAAGATTAATTAGTGAATTAAAAATAATTAAAGGAAATAATAAAAGAATTTAAAAAAGAAAGAAAAAAAATAAAAATGTAGAGATGGGCCTGTGCTTAGCAATTAGTGGGTATATTGCTGAAATTCTGAGCCCAAATGATCCAAGCCCATTTGACTTTGTTGGATCTGGTGTCTGTGTTGACTTGGGGTGTATGATGGACCTTCAAGGGAGAAGCCTTGGATCTCGCTAGAGACGTGATTGATGGTTGGATCTTGATGGCACATGGTGGATGTACACTAATGCAACACGCTTGATCACCTGTTAAAAAACAATATGAAACAAATATGGGACCTGGGGATCGAACCCAGGTCCTCATGCCTTCTTCCAATACCACGCTACCATCTGTACTACGCGTTTCTATTGTACATATAATAACAATAATGCATAATATATAAAATACGATGGTTAATTAGAAAAACGCGCTAAAATTCAAACCACCCAACCAGTGAGTGCCACACATTGTCTTCTTCCCCAAACCGTCGTTTTAGGCAAACAAGCTTTTACCTACGGACATTTCGTTGTAGGTACAGACCTGTCCATCTCAAAAATTATCCACAAGCAAGATAAATGACCATGGCTGGTACCAATCAACTCGTCTCATCCTCACGAGCATCATGGTACCAGAATCAATGCCCAATTTAACATGTACTGCAAAGCCCTAAAACTAACTAAGAAACCCTAACAATGGCGTATCTTGATTCCTGTATTATAAATGCAATTAAACAATACCAAAAGCTTGCAAACTTAATGATAAACAAGAATATATGAATCAAACATGCAAATGATGCATAAATCAATGAAAACGAAATCCAATTTTCGGAACAAACCGTGGCCTCTGTACTTACGATTCCAGGCATGAGAAAGCTTCCAATTGATTGGAATCCCTTCTGGAGATGTCCAGGAGTCTGTTGGTATCGTGAGAATGGCTTGAATCGGCCTTTAGGATAGAAATTGGATCACCACTTTTTCTTGACTTTTTGAAGTTTGTTCTGCCTCTTTCACGATTGCTAGCCCTTTCCTCTTGCCTTGGATACCTTCTGTATATGTAATGCAACACATTAGGTCAACAAAAACGAATTGAATCTTGCCCATTATGAAGATTTGATTTGGTCTTTCATGGCATATGATATCCTTCCAAATTTGCTTCAATCCAATCTTTTTCAACCCAACTCAATCTTGCACGAATTGGTCATACTGCTAGCTGTACATAGGCTCAAAATATGCACAAAAAATCCAAGATTAGATTAGATTTGATTTTATTATTTTACCATTTAATTTGATTTATTTTGATTTAAATGAATAAAAAATCAAAATAAATGATAAAAATAATAAAATAATAGGTGGAAAAGCTCAGGGGTCGTGGGTCCTATTAGAAACATGTTTCAAACAAGAAAACATGGGCCCCTTTGGAAAAATGCAAATTTGATCAATGTTGACTTTTGACAATTTTCCAAAAATTGCCAACTTTGAAAATGCATATCTCTCTCAATTTTGACCCTAGGAGGGTGTTCTTGGACTTTTTAGAAATCTTAGGATATCCTATAAATAACCATTTTGTTCTCATCTCAATTGAGTCTTCCATGTTCAGGTAAGAAGCTTTGACCCCAAAGGTGTTTTTGTTGACTTTTCAAAATGACTTATAATGTAAAAATTTATATCTTTTTTGAGTGCATATTTTGAACTTGAGAGCTGAAGATGAATTGTAGATAATTGCATCATCTTCAAAATGATCTTTGAATGGGTCATTTCTGATAAAGTATGAGAAAGTTATGCTTGGTCAAAGTTGAGTTGACTTTTTCCTACAAAACCTTAATTTAGCAACTTTTGGGTTTTGATGAATTGTGAGCAATCCTTGTAATCATGACCAACCCTTGATAAAATGATGAATAATACTTCAAAATGAGGACGTTGACCAAAAATCTTGAAGTTTGACTGTATGTGGGCCACAGTTGACTTTTGACCTAGTATAGTTGATTTTCAGGCATTTGAGTAATTGACTGAGTAAACTTCCTCTGCAAGGCTTGAAACTTGACTTGGATGATCTTGAGAACATATTAGGACAATGGTGAGCATTTTAGTCCTTTGTGGTTCACATACCCTGATGAAAATAGAAACCCTAATTTGAGGTAGACTGCCTTATGAGGGAGTTTGTTTGGTCAACTCTTGAATTTCCTTGAGCAATTTGAGGACCTCACTTGACATGTATTGAGAAATATGGGAGGTCAAATTTTGGGGTGCAACAAAGTCAATCAAGTTGTATTCACAGAATTTTGCAGTTGCAAGTGAATAATAAAGTTTTCCACAGTTTGTGGGTAGAGAGAAACTCTGTAGAAAAATAAATGTCTTCTTTCTTTCTTCGTTTCTTTCTTTCTTTTTCTTCTTCTTCATTATCATGGTGTGGTGATATCAATCTTATTAGAAATTCATTATAAGTTTTGGTAGATTTTCAACCAGTCTAATTACTGATTGTTGTAGAATATAAAATGTGTGAGATTCTAGAGTTGGTTTTGTGCCGACATCCATTGTGATGCCAAATATTATATGCTAAATACTTTTTATTAAATTAAATTTTTATATATTTATTTTTGAATAAATTGTTTTTTTAAATTCTTGAAAGTTGAAACAAATATTTATCCTTAAAAATATCATCTCAGAAATGGATTTGGTTCAACACATACGGTTCAACACATACGCCACGTAACAAAACTCAGTTACCATGTTGTTAGTGTCAGGTTCATCTTCCATTCTTCACTTTCTTCCCGGTTCCGATCCTCCTTACAAGTTTCTCGAAGAACACCCTTATCTTAAACTCCTCGCAAAATGCAAAAACATCAACACCTTCAAACAAATTCACTCACTTGTCATCAAAACCGGTCTCAACAACACTGTTTTCGTTCAAACCAAACTCATCCAATTCTGTGCCATTTCACCTTCCTGCGACCTCTCCTACGCTCTCTCCCTCTTCGTAGAAAACGAACCACAGCATAAATACAACCACTTCGTTTGGAACTCTCTCATTCGCGGTCATTCTTTGAGCCCTTCTCCCATTTCCTCTTTACACCTTTTTACTCGCATGATTAACTATGGCCTTCAACCAAATTCTCATACTTTCCCTTTCCTATTCAAATCTTGTGCAAAAGCAAAGGCTGCACATGAAGGTAGACAGCTTCATGGTCATGCTTTGAAGCTGTCCCTTGATTTTCATCTGCATGTTCATACTTCGCTCATTCATATGTACGCTTCTGTTGGTGAATTGGACCTTGCAAGGTTGGTGTTTGATAAAAGTTCTCTGAGAGATGCGGTTTCTTTTACAGCTCTTTTTACCGGGTATGTCTCTCAGGGTTATGTGGATGATGGTAGAAGACTTTTTGATGAAATTCCCACTAAAGATGTGGTGTCTTGGAATGCTATGATTGCTGGGTACGTTCAAAGTGGTCGTTTTGAAGAAGCTATTGTTTGTTTTTATGAGATGCAGGAGGCAAATATCTCACCCAATAAGACTACAATGGTGAGTCTTCTCTCTGCTTGTGGTCACACTGGGTCGCGTGAATTGGGTAATTGGATAGGTTCTTGGGTTAGAGATAATGGGTTTGGTTTGAATCTTCAGTTGATCAATGCACTCATTGATATGTATTCTAGGTGCGGTGAAATTGATACTGCTCGTGAGTTGTTTGATGGGATAGAGGAAAAAGATGTGATTTCGTGGAATACTATGATTGGTGGTTATACTTACTTGAGTTTGTATGAAGAAGCGCTAGCATTGTTTGACGTCATGCTTAGATCGAATGTAAACCCTAATGATGTGACCTTCTTGGGCATTCTTCGTGCCTGTGCTTGCCTTGGTGCTCTTGACCTTGGTAAATGGGTTCATGCATACATAGATAAGAACCTGAAGAGCAGTAGCAATACTTCTCTTTGGACAAGTCTCATTGACATGTATGCAAAATGTGGTTGCATTGAGGCTGCAGAATGGGTTTTTAGAAGTATGCATTGTAGAAATTTGGCTTCTTGGAATGCCATGTTGTCAGGATTCGCCATGCATGGACTTGCAGAGAGGGCTCTTGCACTTTTCTCAGAAATGATCAACAAAGGATTATTTCAGCCCGATGACATCACGTTTGTTGGGGTGTTATCTGCTTGTACACAAGCTGGTTTGGTTGATCTTGGACACCACTATTTTAGATTGATGATGCATGACTATGGGATTTCTCCGAAATTGCAACACTATGGTTGCATGATTGATCTCTTAGCTAGAGCTGGAAAGTTTGAAGAAGCGGAGATGCTTATGAAAAACATGGAAATGGAGCCTGATGGAGCAATTTGGGGTTGTCTTCTTAGTGCTTGTAAGGCTCATGGACGTGTTGAGTTGGGTGAATACGTTGCAGAACGTCTCTTTCAATTAGAGCCAGAAAATGCAGGGGCATTTGTGCTTTTGTCAAATATATATGCAGGAGCTGGTAAATGGGATGATGTAGCAAGGATAAGAACAAGGTTAAATGACAAAGGAATGAAGAAAGTTCCTGGTTGCACCTCTATAGAGATTGATGGAATTGTTCATGAGTTCCTTGTTGGTGATAAGTTCCACCCCGAATGCAAAAATATTTATCGAATGTTGGATGAGGTAGATAAGCTTTTGGAGGAAAATGGGTTTGTGCCTGATACTTCTGAGGTACTCTATGATATGGATGAAGAGTGGAAAGAAGGAGCTTTGAGTCATCACAGTGAGAGATTAGCTATTGCTTTTGGTTTGATTAGCACAAAGCCTGGAACTCCGATTAGGATCGTGAAGAATCTTCGAGTTTGTGGAAACTGTCATTCAGCTACCAAGCTAATATCTATGATTTTCAATAGGGAAATAATTGCAAGAGATAGAAACCGTTTTCATCATTTTAAAGATGGATTTTGTTCATGCAATGATTGCTGGTGAAACTTACTCTATCTGTTCAATGGAATATATCATTTGCACTTATGCAGAAAGAAATGTCACTGATTTGCATTCATATGATTAACTATGATTGATTGGTAGTACATAAGAACTCTCTCACTATTGAGATGCAAGTCATCATTCATAGTACACGAAGAAAACTAGCTTAATGCTGATTAAGAATTTAAGATTAGCTAGGTGCATACATGCATCCGAATCCACAATCCAAGTTATGCATTTGGAATTCATGCATTGGATGGTCGGTTGAAGGAGTTCTTTCTTGCAGTTGCCAAGACGGTCTTGTCAGCTACTATGAAATATGCTGCTCCAGCCACTACAAACAGAATATGAGAATAAGTATCCAACAATGTGTGAGGAGAATAAAGAAAAGTTAACTAACCAGTTGAAATGATGAGAGCTTGTGCAGTGTGATTGAGGTTTGCTCTTGCCCAAGGTAGCATTCTAACACTAGCCAGCTGCATATCAAATACATTGTGTACACAACAAATGGAGAATGCATAACAATAACAATGGAGGGATGAATGGAAAAAAAATAGAAAAGGTGGAAGGAAGGAGTAGTTACAGTTGGAATGGCAGTGGCAATAGTAGCAACAACAGCTGCCTTAGCTCCAGCCATTACACCTTCTGTTTACACAACACAACAAAAGGAGTTTGATTATATTATAGATTGACAGTAATTATATTATAGCCTATCTAATTAAGGAAGCAGAAGATTATATTATAGATTGACAGTAATTAGTAAAGTATGCATTACGACGAGAGCATCGTTTAGCCATGGCCATCCTCTGATCTAGATAAGCCAAACTAGTTTTCTCAAGAGAAGAGTTAGCAGCAACGTTTCTCTCTACCATCTTCAAAGATCGAATTGAATTGAGTTGCACAAAATCTGGCAATGAAAGAAGTCTTTGTAAACAGGTGAATATATTGTTGGTGTACTTTTGAATGAAGAGTGTACGAAGTTGGGGGCATATTTATAGTGAGTTGGTGAAAGAGTAGTTTGATTAACGAAAGTATGTTGATTTTGAAACCAAGAAAGAGAGAAGAGAGGCACTAGGAAAGGTGGAGTTTGATGGTTTCAGATGAAACCCACTGTCTCACACAGTTGTTTTCACTGTGGATTCTGTTATGAATTATGATCGGTTGATTCTTTTGTTGTTTTCTTAATATAATAAAATACTCTAACTTATGCACATGTTATTTTTCCTATGATCCTGTATCTCATTGTTTATTTATTTGATGCACCTAAAAATATATAAACAAAAGCTCCTTTAGCAAAGTGTATAGAAGAAGGTGGTGGTTTAGTGTAAAAGAATGCTAAAAACCATGGGTTTTGGTTGCCAACACATTGGACATCCCCAACAAAGAGAAAGGGAGCATGAAGCGTGTGAGTCAGTATAATAAAACCATGAGATTAAGGGCAGGTGGGTTAGCGTTTTCTTTATTGTTCTTTGTTTTACGAGCATCTGATGCATTAGTGCATTCTCCGAATCAGTGACTGACACGAGTTAATACTTGGTAGGATTTTGTTGGAAAGGGAGGCCATGGTTTTTGGGCTAAGAGTGGCTGGACACTACTATTAGCCTTTTGCATTTGCCTCAGCTGCTCTCTCTCTTTCTCTTTAAAGTAATTTAGGCAGTTTTTAAAAAAAAATGATTTTTATTGTGTTATATATTTTTGTTTTAAAAAATGATAAAGAATTTTTTAAAAATATTTTAAATAAAAATTTAGTTTAAATAGCTGTTTTAAAAATATTATTTTAAATATTTTATCTTTTTATTAAAACTTTATTTAAATATTAAAATTTCAATAAATTATTTAAATTTAAAACTAACATCTATTTTTGAGATGAATCCTCTTAAAAGTAAATTATTTTGAACATTATTATAACTCTATTTTTAAGATAATCTTTTTAAAATTGAGGAAGAATTTGATTTTTCTGGATACTCTTCACGTGAATGGTTATTCATTCTGGTCAGATGGAGATAGGGACATCATGAGGGTTAGCAAGGGGTGCAATGACAGTGGTGACGACAAGGAAGACTATAGGCAACATTTATAGGTTGTTGGGGGCATAATTATGGGTGATATAACACCTCTTGAAATTGATAATGATACAATCAAATTGTGTCACGTGCGCTTGAGTTATCTCAATGAACTTGGAATGATTGAACTATATAAGAGAAATTTGCGGAAGGTTTTTCACAATTGCACAATTGGATTTTATAAGTACTATGTTCTTGGGAAACACTGTAGGGTATATTTCAAGACCGAGGAACACAAAACCAAGGAAATCTTATACTAAGCCCCTTATGATGTCTAGGAGCCTACGAAAGAGCCCTTCTTTGGAGGTTTCAGGTATTTTGTGACATTCACTGATGATTTTTCTTGTAAGGTATGATTTATATTATGACATATATATCTGAGGTATTTTCCAACTTCAAAGTGTGGAAGGAAGAGGTTGAGAACCAGACATGGAGAAAAATAAAGTATTTGCAGTCTGATAATATAATTGAGTACACTAACAAGAAGTTCATGCATTTCTGTAAGGAGAATGTAATGCATAGGCATTTTTCTGTGAAGAAGATGCCACAACATAATTGTGCTGCATAGAGGATAAACAAGACTCTGACGGAGAATGCAAGGTGTCTTCGATTGAATTTTTTTCTTTCAAATGGTTTCAGGGCAGAAAAACTCAATATGGCATGTTATCTAGTCAACAGATCACTAGGGGCTTCATTGGATGTAAAAATTGCAGTAGAGGTGTGGACATGTAATCCCATTGATCTGAGTAATTTGAGAATTTTTGGGTGTCCCACACATGTGCATATTTCTAGTGAGAATCGATCTAAACTTGACCCCAAGTCAAAATAATGCATTTTTATCGGCTACAATAATGGTGTGAATGGGTACAAGTTTTGGGATCTGGTTAAGATAAAAGTGGTTGTCAATAGAGATGTTGTATTTAATGAGCAATCGATGTTGAAACAGACATATATGATAGTTGCGGCAGACACTGAGGTAGAAAATTCTAATCATGACAAGATTCAGGTGGATATTAAGGAGCCAACATTGAGTCCAAGGAATGTTATAGTCCAATAACAGGATGAACCGGACTCAAATTCAGGTGAAGTGCTAGATTCATATGCAGTACAAGACTATACTCTTGTGCGTGATAGGGGACCCCTTTGTGTTACACCTATAGTGAGATATGAATTTGAAGACTTAGCAAAATATATTATTCTTACCAGTTCAAGAGACCCTTATACTTTTGAGAAGCTATGGCTATCTAGGAGAAAGATAAGTGGATGGGCGCTATGGTGGAGGAGATGAAGTCTTTGAAAAAGAATGAGACATTGGATCTTGTTTATCTGACACGGGAAAATAGAGCTATTGGTTGCAAATGGGTGTACAATAAAAATTCATCAGTAATAGAAAAAGAAGGGGAAAAGTTCAAGGTTCTCCTAGTTGCAAAAGGGGTATTCACAACAGAAAGGGATTGGTTATGATTAGATTTTCAATCCGGTTGTTAGACACATTTCTATCAGAGAAGTATTAGCCCTGATAGCCAGCACGAATATGCATTTAGAGCAAATGGATGTGAAAATAGTTTTCCTCCATGGTAATCTAGATGAGTAAATCTACAAGGAACATCTAGAGGAATTTAGTGATACTGGACATGTCAGACTTGTTTACAAATTGAAGAGGTCTTTGTATGGCTTGAAGCAGTATGCAAGGTAGTGGTACACGCGATTTGATCCATACATGCTATGGATTAGCTATATAGGGTGTGTTTTTCATTGTTGTATTTATGTGAGGAGTCTTGATTATGGTTGTTTTATTTTCCTGTTCCTCTATGTTGATTGCTACAAATCATTTGCATGATGTAAATGAGTTGAAGACCGAGTTGGGTAAAGAGCTTGATATGAAGGATTTGGGTGCTGGAAAGAAGATTCTTAGAATGGAAATTCATAGGGGCATAGGAGCTAATAGGTTATTGTTGTCTTAGAAAAATCTATGTTAAAGGTGTTTTAAGAAGATTTAGCACGAGTAAAGCAAAGCTTGTGAGTACTCTAATGGAGAATCATTTTAAGCTCTCTTTGGTATAATGTCCTAATAAAAATTTAGAGATTGAAGGTATGTCTAAGATTCCTTATGCAAGTGCAGTTGGTTGTTTGGTGTATGTTATAGTTTGCACTATACCGAATTTGGCACAAGCAGTTAGTCAAGTGTGCAAGTTTATGTCCAAGCCAGGGAAGCAACATTGAGAAGTAGTCAAGTGGATCCTAAGGTACTTGAAGGGTACAAAGAATCGTGGTATTATGTTTAACATTGAGTAAAGTGTTCCATCAATCGTGGGATATATGGATTCTGAATATGCATGTGATCTGGATGATAGTAGGTTTGCAACAAGGTATGTCTTTACTATTACGGGGGGATTTATATGTTGGAAATTATCAGATCAATCCATAGTAGGTATGTCTATAACTGAGGCAAAATGCATGGCAGTATTTGAAGTTGTAACACCCGAGGCTGAAGAGGGCAAGAGTGGTTACATGTAACACATGAGGGTGAGGGAGTGGTTATCGGTGCATGAGACATGACAATGAGAAACTCCTAGAAGCTTATAGGGGAAATGGAATTCACATCAGAATGAGAGGGATCTCGAGGCTGTGCAGGGAAGGGACTGCATGGTTGAAGGAAGGCTTTTAAGGATTAACTAGTACTACCTATATCAACAAGATGCATATTCTTTTCGGTAGCCTATTCTATGAGAACTCCACAGTTAAGCGTGCTTGACTTGGAGCAATTTTGGGATGGATGACCTTCTGGGAAGTTTTCTGCAAAACATGTGAATAAGGACAAATCATGCTGAAAAGACCCGTGTTACTTTGTGGGTCAGTCAATAATCCTGAAAGCAATCTAGGGCGTTATAGAGGCTGCCAATGAATCATTGTGGCTAACAAGGTTAGTGAAAGAGTTGG